CCGAAACCCTAGATAGTAGCTTCCATTTTCTTATCCACTATCCCAATATATACCCTCATTCATACCTTATTTTACTATATTCCCTATATAACCTCAATATACTATAGTAGTTTCCATTTTCTTTTCCATTATCCCTATATAACCCCAATATTATAACCCCTATATAACCCCAGAATCCTGCCTCCGAACCGCTGCTGCTCGTACTACCCGAGCTCTTGTGGGCCAGGGACTCCAGGCGGAGCTGCTGCGTCTGGGCATTGCCAGGGAGATCAACTATTATAATAGGGATTCTTTTGGGGTTATATTGGGATAGTGGAAAAGAAAATGGAAACTACTATAGTATATTGGGGTTATAAGCAAAGATGTGCCTAAAATCCTAAACCCAGGATACTATATAGAAGCTTCCATTTTCTTTTCCATTTTCCCTGACTAACCTCAACATATACCATGTGATACGTGTATGGTGTACCTAGCACAATTGAGTCAAATCCAGCTGGTGGAGATGAATGACCATCTCGACAACCTTCTCTGACCCGTCCTTGCATCTAACAGCCAAGACAGGCGGGTAAAGCCTACAAAGCCTCTTTGGAATCCCGCAAATACGGCTGTATGGTTTGCCACCTTGCCCCCCTGACAGGAGGAAGAATTGCCCCTAAACCCTGAACCCTAAATAGTAATTTCCATCTTCTTTTCCATTATCCCAATATAACTCCAATATACTATAGCAGCTTCCATTTGCTTTTCCATTGCTATATAACCCTAACATACCACAGTAGTTTCCATGCTATCTTCCCTTATCCCAATATACATATAACCGCCATATAATCGTTACCAACATTATGCACAGCAAGCTCTTGGCCTGCAAGCTATCGGCCAGCTCCTGCTCCTGACATGCCACTGCCATCAAAAACAGTCACATGGTAAGGACATAAGGTAGTTTCCCAAAATAGGGGGACCCCAATATACTATAGTCGCTATTATGGGGACCCCCCAAAAAATACTCGTAATTTTGGAAAACCCTCATTAAGGACCCGCCAGTGTTGTTGATTTTCAGCTCATAGACTGCCCTCTACATCGAGGTCTGGCGAGCCTGGGGGGTGAGAGAATTCCAGCTCCGTTCGGAATGAGCAGACCTGCCCGACCTCGGAAAATAGCTGCATTTGATTGAATCCTACAAGGATGTCAAATATTCGAACATGCATCCAGCTGCTAGAGGCAGGGTTTTCACTCATGCTTCCTTGAAGGGTCTATAGTCCCTCTGAAGTAGATAGAATATGGGGTATATGGGGATCCTATTATAATCTGCCAGAGCCACGTTCTATCAACTTAAAGGGTACTATGCCCCGAAAGTGGGGTCGATAACATGTTCCCCTGGACGGTACGGAATCTCGGCTTCGCATGTGGGCCCTGGCTAAGACCCAGTATCTGCTCAAAATGTACCCTCCCCCCCCCCCAATGTAGTACCTAGATGTATCTGTATATATATGTACATATTCATTTATTTATCCATTATCTACGTATTTACATGCATATAAACACACACACACATATATATATATGTATATGTATGTATATATGTATATGTGTGTGTGGTATGCTGAGTTTTCAAGGTTGGTTCAAATTCTGATTGAATCCACTCGACAGGGCCGGTCTTGGGGAAGTAAGGAATAGGTAATCGTTGCCACGCCGCAAGTACTCAAAACAAACAAGGCCTAAAGCCTGTGGTGAGGTTTACCGGCTGCCGTGATCTTCTCCACGCTTCTCTGCTGCAGTTGTGCAAGACTTCAGAAGTGACCAATCAAAAGCCGCAACCTCGTGGTTAACGGCAAAATGCATTGTCACCAAGCTTGCCGTGCCAAGAGAGCCTTTTTTTGGTGTAAGCAAAACAGCCACCAATAAAGGCCCGCACACACTGCTGGTGCGGCTGTTACTTCGACGCTCGATCTCGAAGCGGTCCATTGCGACCTCATAAGCAAATAACGTTTTTTTTGCGATCAAAAGCTGGGCTGTGGCGTGTTCACAAAACAGAAGCAGAAGCAAGATAGCCAACAGAGGTTGCAACGGGGAAATTGTTTCCCTCAGGCAATGGAGGCTTGGCAAGCACATCGGGCAGGGAGAAAGTACAGCAGTTGGTGGCGCATGATGCCTAGCTATTGATGGTCAGCCTTCCTCATTCTCTCGTCAGTGTCACAGGAAATTTGAAGGCAGCCCAGTTCAACATCACTGTGCTGGCAAGCCAGCAAAATACCAGGCTGCCTTGAGTGGGCATGCGCGCCCCAAAGCCCTGTCATTCGGAACACAATGCGAGTATGCAGGGAAGCCCCAACATCCCCAAACCAACTGGGAAAGGTGACTTCCAGTGCTTCCGTGGGGCACTGGGTGAAGGCTGCAATGGATGGTCGGAAATGTATTTCAAGCCTGGACCAACGTCTCCAAGCAGTATTTAGCACCTTAGATACTGTCACATCAAATGCACGTGCACTCTTGCTTCTTCTGGCTGCTCTAGCTTCTTCTGGCTGGAGCATCCACAACTCATCCATCTATTGGGCCAGAAAAACAACAAACCTCATCAACAACCCTTCTTTCACCGCACTTGCAGCCATGTTTCTGCGCAAGCCGGAGTAGCCCACTTGGACGGCAACGATTAGAATATTGGTGTCCATGCAGCAATGGACATGTTTACAATTGCAGCCACTGAATGCGGTCCTTGATACTTGCGCTGTCTCAAGCGATTGCTGAGTGAGAAGGTCTGTCTGCAGTTGCTCTGGAGTACTTGCTTCTGCTTGGATCAGTGATTTGGTCTGCTGGTACCGGTGCTACAGGGGGTTGTAACTTCACCTTGCTGAAGCTTGATCCGAGTGAGGCAAAATGGCAAATAGTCTCGGCCCTGAGCTTGGAATAAACAGGGGAAGTTGCATCGCTTCTTGTAGTGTCCAGCTCCAGAGAACGCCAATAAATACATGAAGGCAGTAATTTGGTTTTTGCGTCAAGCATGTTTGGCTCAGTGACCGCTCACCCGGTGTTGAATCTGACCTGTTCACTCAAGCTGTACACCCAACAAATGTCAGGTCACCAGTGAGGCCTGCGAGAGGGCTTCGGCCTGGAGAGAATCAAGGGTATGAAAGTTGCTGCACTCAAATTGGTGTGCACGAGGATGCGGCAAGGACCCCCATGCAGCAACATCTGTCAAACAAACTGCCCGGGTCGCTGACTGCAAACAGCATGTTTTCGCGGTGAAGACCATGATGCGGCGGCCTGCCGATTGAGAACGCAGACCAGTTACATAGCATTCACCTTGCATTCGCAAACCCTCTCCGGCAAACGGCTCTCCACATATTCTCGTGTTGTAGAAGCTGCTGCGGCATGGTTTCAGCTGTGACAGGTCTACCTGCCAGAGGAGAATGACATGCAGGCTCGCATGGCCCGCACAAGCGAGAAGCTCGACCTAGTAAGAACACTTCGTGTCAATATGGCCTTCTGCTGGGCACGACGCTCTTACACCCCACACCGCAATCAGACAAATACACTGATAGCTACTGAAGCCCAACCTGAAACAGATTGGTTGGATTATGCAGGCGGCTCGACTGGAAGCAACCATTATTTACATCTGCCACCACCGCTTTCGCGGCCTGACTGCACAATGCTCTTGGCCCTGGATCACGGATGGGTTCTCCTCACGCACAGATCCAGATCTCAAGTAAACATAAACAAAAAGCACATCCCACTTGACTCGGGCCTAAGCGCCAGCGGCCACATTAGGATGCATTAGGACTCTCCAAACATGTCACGACTCAGCAGCGAGAGCCTCGGGTAGGTTTTCAGAGGTGGTTTAGATATCGAAGTCGCTGAAGCTCTCGCTGGCATACTCCGGAGGCTTGGTCCTGGAAGCTCTTGGCTTTGCTACAAAAAAGGACTGGGGTGATCCATGATAGGCCAGAACCAGAAACATCAACACAACTCAACTAGGGGAATCTGGTTCACAGACCACAGGAATTTTGCACAGGGATCAGGGTGTGGAGGATTTCAGATCACAGGGCTTAAGGATCAGTGTCAGAAGCAGCAGAGCCGGGAAGCAAAATACAGGGAATATTTAGGTGTTAGTTTTTTTTTCTTCGGGTCTCCATTCACAATGGTTCTAAGAAATCTGGTGGCACAAGCAGGTTGGAGCACACTTCAAGAGGTCAATTTCTGGCAGCGAGACATTAAGACCGATGAGCCAGTCAACCGATGCCCACGGCCCAAGGAAAGATCCAGGTCTGGGTTGCAGGCAACTTGTGGATTCACCCACCCTGCATACCTCATCTTGCAAGGACAAAATTCTGCTTCTTTCCAGATCCCGAAGCTTGAGGTCTCCTCACAAGAACTCATGTTCCAAGGGAACGCTACTACTTTGGTGTGAAAACATTGACATTCTGGCTGTTACAGTCACTGGTTGGGGTGGTTCTTGCGCCTGAACGGGGACCTAGCATGCTTTCAAACACTGACATGACTGATTCTAAGGTGCTTGAGGCGCCCAAGTAAAGCAGCAGAGCCCTTGATTGCCTGGCTTGACACCTAAGGCGCCCGCCCCTTTAGGTACCCAGCCCGGAGAAAAGAAGTCAATCTGGTCCCTGGTCTAACTGTCATTCCTTTTTGGGCAGGGAGCAAGTTGAGAGCAACCTGAAACATGAAAAAAAAACACGGTCGGTTCCACAAGGATTGACTGGCCAGCCAACTCGACCCCAGCAACTACCGTACGGTGGCTTGCCGAATCTCATGTCAAGCAGTCTAGCGCATGTTGCAACAGCGATGCTGCATGAGACTGGAGAGCACTGCTCTTCCTCGAGATCAGTGCTCGAACCACTTCTGAGCCTGCTAGGAATGCTGCCTCGCAGGCAGGCTGTAGCAGAAGGTCCTGAGTTGCTGTCTGCACATGGTAAAGGGAACTGACGATAGGAAAAATGCCCAAGTGTCCATGTCTGCACTGGCAGGACGTCCAGGCGGTGGCTGCACAAAGTTGCTCGCAGCTCCTTAGAGCACGTAATAATAACATAGGCACACCTAATGTGATCTAAGCCGATCTTCAACAGGCGCTCACCATGTCTCGGGCTTGCGATGCACGAGCCAGTCGCAGAAGGCAGTTGCTTAAAGACAAGAGCTCCATCTGCCAATCTGCCGAGCTGCGGAGCACGAGTAGGGCCTCCACACCCCGGCTTCTGCGCGCTCGCTGCAGGGCTTGGATTGCCTGGGCCAATCCAAGCTTAAGGGCATAAGAAAGACGCAACGTTGGACCCACCTCGGCCACTGCGAAATCCTCCATCGCAGACATAGCGAAGACGCCCTGACGCAGCACTGAGTTGCAAAGTTCTTTGAGGCAGTTGTATGTCCAACGCAAAGGAGCCAGGAGTGAGCCAAGAATGCCAAAGAATGACCTCACTGGTCTCATGATGTCTCATGGGAACTTCCTGGCGCAAGCCAGCGCTAGCAGCATGTGCTTCTCAAGCAGGTGCTAGCATGTTGTGGTACGTGGGTTGATGGGTTGATGTATGTACAAGGTTACATGCCTTTGACCTAGTGCAACATAGCAGCCAGACTAGTACTAGTAGCGAAGCTGGAAAAGCTACCCGTCGCAACTGGCATCGCCAGGCGATGTTATGCAACTCCATGCCTTCCCGCCCCAAGCATCTGCGCTGGCTGGCAGCCAATACTTTGTCCAATTTCTGGCCCAACCTCTGCACGGTATTCACCCCTCTTCAGAGTGGACCGCAGGAAAAGCTTGCTACACAGAGTTGCTGTTAATGTTACATGTCTGAGGACGCAGTATGTAGCAGTTGCTGCTCAGAAGCCAGCTTGCGCCGGTCCTGTCCAGAAGACATCAGTTGCTACAAGATCCTTGGCTGAGAGGATGAAGGCGCGGGCTGCGAAATGGGCGCAAACATCAATCATCAACTCGGCCTATCTCCGCCGCAAACTTCTTTGGCGTTCACAGCTGTGTTGCGGCCGGGCAGCCCCAATTTGCACAGAGGGAGCCTGTGCAGCAGCTGGGAAGGTTGGAGCATAGTCCCGGCGCGCACGCCTCAAGTCCTGCATCGCTGCAATTGTTTGCCTGCAAACTTTCATCAGCTCAGCTAGCTCCTCCGTGTCTGGAAGCTGCAGGGAGTGCGTCAAGTTGTTTGCCCACCTTTGCTTTGAACCGCCACAGCTTCAAGCAAAACAAGTCGCTGCAAGCGCTTCAGAAGTAAGGCGCTTCCTTTGCTACACTCTGATTTGCCTCGTCGCCCCCGTCAGATCTTGAGTATAGTTCTGACAGCTAGCACCTTCACGCATGCTCCGAGAACTGTGTGAATATGATGTGAATTTTACCAGGTGTTGAGGGTTTAGGGTACCCAGGGAGCCTAATACCTGATACTGAACCATTTTAATGCTGTAGCTCATTGCCGCAGCCGAGGGAAAGTCTGCCAGGCTCAGCTTGGCCTGGCCTCATCAACCCATATTGGGGTTATATAGGGATAATGGAAAAGAAAATGGAAACTACTATAGTATATGGGGGTTATATAGGGATAATGGAAAAGAAAATGGAAACTATGGGGATTGTAGGGGTTATGTGATCAAAATAACCTATCGCAAGTGTGTCAGCGACTAGTCGACTAAAAGGAACCGTAAGGAACCTTACCAGAATGGCATCCCGGACCCCTTCATCAGCCAACTACAGCAGCCTAGCTTGTTGTGTCCAGTTGCAGCACCAAGTCTGGGTTCAACACCTGAGCTGTTAGCAGATTTCTGCACCTTTGCCTAGCTGGGCCCTAAAACCCTTTGAAAACATATTAATATATAGGGTCCCCTATTAAAGCCATTAGGGAAAATATCAAATATCCCATGAACCTCCAAGTAGGGTTGCTAATTTCCGAAACCCACCTTCACAGAGCCAGCACGGTCCCCCGCGGTCTGTGGAGGTGAACCATACGGCCGGTCTCGGTTCACCGGGATCCAGCCAGTTTCCCAATCCTGCCCAGGCAGTCTCCTTGTGCTTCACAAGGAATTTGGGATGGACAGCATTGGGCTCATTCCGCCAAGCAAGAAGGAGGCGAATAAGCCACGATCTGACATCATATCAGGAAAGAAAACAGTTATGGGAATTCGAGCAAGCTCCATCTTGACTCATGTTTTTAGTTTGTTACTGTGCATCTGGCCCTGTGGACTGGCTCAGTGTTTAAAACCAGCATGAGCAGTGGCTAGTACCCGTGCCCTGACTTGTTGCAGCCCGTTAATCCAGCCCTTCTGGGCAAGGACTCCAAGGATTTCTGCCATGCCCTGCGTGGCCCAGGACCGCCTTTGGTTTCATAATGTTCCGCGGCTATCATGCAGACGCCTAGGCTCACGACTAATTCATGTGAACAAAGAGACAGGGAGTCAGGAACAATGCCAAAATACATAGACGAAAAGATTGCAGGCGCCTCTGGCATTTCTCGTGCGTTGAGGTACCTCACCACCGTCCCATCCACCAGCCGACGCATCCATGCAACTCCGCCAACCGTGCCAAACATGGGGTCTACTCCTCAGCAATGCATGATAGCTTGCGGTTCAAGGGAGAGGAAGACGCAGTCGCTGGCAATGTCAAGCTAATGTTTGCCAGGAAACCTGCAATGCCTGCAAGTAGCCAGGTGGCGCTGGTCAGGTCGAAGCGGTGATCGTAGCCCAGGGCTGTTACCTCCCAAGATCCCACTCTGAAAAGCCGACGACCGTTTCAGTGAAAAGGTATCCAGCACCACAGGAGGGGCTACAGCTGCTTACATAATGGGATGGGGTGATGCCTGCACATGCGGGTCCAAACAACAGCCGCTGCACAAGAGCTGGTGGCATATGCCCTGGTGTGGAAAGCATATGTAAGCCTTTTAAACCCTTGGCGCACCGAAAGCGAGGCGTTCTTCGAGGACATCCCAGTCACCATCGCCAAGACTCCAAGAGAACCTTCGAGCTTCCTATGAGATGGCTTGGAGAGTTAGCCCGGTTCGCAGCAAGAGGTCCGTGATCTGAGGCCAAGATTCCATTCCAAGCGAGATTCTGTTGTCCAGCCCCTCCTGACGGCTTGCGAGCAGTCGCGGTTTGCATGCTGCAATGCATAACTTTCATAAGAGAATGTTGGGCTCTGGCTCCTTGAAACGGAAGTTCATCGTTGAGGGGCAGGCGAGCTTTCCACCTGCATGTATGATGTCTTTAGCACACCAACCGCTGATGCACCCACGTAGTGCAGCTCTAAGCTTTAGAACCAAAAGCGCTAGTGACATCTGTCTGGAGCCTTTGAAAAGCTTGTGCAGCATGAGCGCAGACAAGCCGCATGCGAATTACTTGTCCCGGAGTTCTGCACTTCCAAACTCCGGAAGCGGTGTCAAAGCTATATATGCATCTACTTCTGGCCTATGGGGCACAGGCCAAGCATGCTGGTCAAATTGGATCGAGTCTGCTTACACCACGGGCCTTTCAATGCATCTTGACTTGACGGTGCGCTACTGCTGGTATGCACGCTACCACTCTGCTAGTGCGAGCCGCCATATCTTGTGTTGTATCTCAACATCTCTTGTCAACGTGTCGATTTGAGCTTCAAGCTCCCCACGCTTGTGCTTCGAGCAGAATGCGGGGGATCTCTGCCTACAGAACACGGCAGTTCACAGGAAATCGGCACCTGGTCAGCTCTGGAGGGAAAGCAGTCACCACAACCACTTGCGGCACCAGAACAGAGCCGCCATTTGCCACAGCCGCGATGAAGCAGAGGAAGGAAAGCATCGCGGCGCGGGTTGGACACTCTGCTTACATCAACTTATCGCCGCCTCGAATCTGTTGGGATTGAGTTTGAAGCCAGTCCTTTGATGAATGCAGAAACCCTTTCATGTTGAGGAGTCAGCAATCGATGTCTACCAGATCTTGAGTCATTCCTCAGCAGACATTGGAGGCATCTCACCAAGCACATGTAAAATCAAATGAAATCTCACTTAGCTGCAAGACATCATTTTTTTTGCCAAGCTGGCGCGCAGCCTTAGCGTGGCCTACTAATCAATTACACTTTGTGCCTTAGCCCATGTTGAGCGCGGCCACTTGCAACGTTGCTTGCTGCTTGCTCAACTTGACTACAGTTGACTGCCCGTCGGTCAGAATCAAAGCTGAATCATGGAGATCGTTTGTGACCATTGGACACTAAGCAGATTCTGCCACGGATGTTTTCACTATAAGAACTTGCCAATAGCACCATCTGCTGAGATTCCGTGGTAGCATGTGGTAGCTTTTACAGTAGATTGGGTCCGGTTTTCGGACTCATCCTCGCTAGCACCGTTGCTTCGGACATCTCTGGTGATTCAACGTACTTCTGATGAAGCATGCATCCGCTACAAGCCACATTGTGGGTTGACTGTCTTTGCCTACTGCAATGCTGAGTTGCTCACCACGCTAAGATCTACTTTCACGGCCTTGCGCAAGGCCAAGTCGCCAGAAGTTCATTTCCATCTCAAAGCGCCGCGCCTTAAACTGAGCTGTATAAATTCAACGGGATGCTTGCCAACAGGCATCGAACGTCACGTTGCACTCATCCACTTATCCTGTCTGAAGCCTCTCCCTAAGATCAATCTATCCCATGCTTGTGCAGGCTGACGCAGCGGAGCCCTTGAAGCTTGCTCCCGGCAGGGCCACTCCGATGATGCCAAAAGGAGAAGAAATCCCTCTGTTCCCTGAACGCTGGTTAGGGCTAGGTGCGTCTCGCTGGGCATTCTCCATTTGCTCCTGAAACGCCATGCGCTGGCACCTTGCCAACGAGAATGTTGTTGGTTTGGGGACCTAGCAGAATGCAGACCATCCCGTTTAAAATTATCCCCAGAGCCCCCAGTACAGTGGGAGCCACATCCAGGACGCCTCTTTCTCATTTTTCTGGGAGCCCCGTTGTTGCGCGGGTCCCAAGATTAAACACGGAGCCGAATTATTCAATGGAGGGCTGTATATCTGGTAGCAGCCCTCCTGTACATCTGCAACGGCTCATTCCAACATGTCTAAGGTGTTCATTGGTTGTGCGGCCCCTGCTTGCATGTCAGCTGAAACATCTAGAATGTAAAGGGAAGGGCATCGTCTGCATGCTTCATTTCAAACCCATGAATCTAAGACTTGCATTCCAGGACTTCAGGCTTGATCAACGAACGTGAAGGGGACAGTGGCCCAGGGCCCGGGTGTCTGGCCAAAGGCAGGTGCTTTAACAAACGCGCAAGAGCCGCATGCGGCATACAAGCCCCGGATTTCGGACAAGAATCCCTAGAATGTGGACCATTATACTAGAAGTAGCACTGTGCACTTTGTAAGGCGTGAGCGGCGCACAGTCATGTCAGTTTAGAGCCTGGAGCAGTTTGCCTTAACATTGGGCTCTCTTTAGTATAGGGCCCCCCCCCAACAATTAGCATTCCTCTTCAATATTTCGGCCCCCCTAAATTTGCCGCGCAATTAACATCATATGGGCCCCTAGAATCTATCTAAGCAATCTAAGTAACCTTCAGGGAAGCTTTTGAGTCTTGTTTGCGTGCTGAGTGTAGACAGAGCCTGCAAGCTGTTTCTGCTGAGCTTTTCTTAGGTAAAACTAAACTAACTTAGTCAATAACTTTTGCTATGTTTCTATTTAGGGCCCCGGAAAATTTTATTATTCCGGCCAACTCAAACAATACCAGATCCTGAATAATTTCCCCGAAAAAAATGCTATTGCGGCCCCCTATGCCAAAGAGGGTCCAACATTCAAAGCCAGTTTACAGCAGCTCTGGTCGAGGCACTGCAGCTGCTGACATCGTGCCTCCAAAGTCTGGCATCGCCTTGCACTGGTGCTGACCGTTGGACATGGCACGGTGTTCAACACGGTTGACACGTAGTTCGGAAAAAGGAAAGTTGAAGTTGCGCTGCTCTCCAACATATGATCACCTCTGTGGCGAAACATGCGCCATCTGGAGCCCCGGCTGTGTCAGCTGCGAGTTCTCCAGCTGCAGATGTCTTGCTCGCAATTGCATGGCCTGAGCATGATGCTGGACTCGACCTTTGCTTCATAAGGGCACACACAGCGTCAGCCCTCTGGGCAACCATCTCCGATCACAGGCATGTGTCCGCAAAGAGTTCAAGTGGGACATCGAGAGGGCTACACCCCGCTTGACTGAAGTCAAGAAACCAAACGGGAGCAACCCCTACTAGGTCACTGCAGATGTGTTGCAGTCCGCGCTTGGTGGCGCGGACAACACCACCAAGTGGCGCGCCATCCAATCCCGGGCGGCCACAGAGGAGCCTGTCAACAGTTCTCTACTCACTGGTACCGCAGTGAAGGGCTGCCACTCATCAGTCATCACTCCAAGCCGAGCATGATGGCAAGCAGACGTGATCAACGAGCCGAGAGAATCCTCAAATAGACAACTGCAGGAATTGTGATTTACGCTTTCATCTGCATGGCAGCATGGGATGTGGCCTTAGCGGAGAGAATGTAGGGGAGTGGGTCCCAAGGCATCCCAAGGCTAAAGCAGCAGCGGCCAATACCTCCCCCCCCCCCAAGTTCCCGAACCTTTGCGTGTGTCAGTTTTGTGAGATGCTGTGAGATGCCCGACACTGAGCAAGCCCGAGTGGTGAGTGCCCCTTTCCTGCTTACAGCACCATTTCAGAAAGAGTCGCGTGCAACATCGCTACCCAAATAGCCAGAAGTGTTCCACGTATGTCCTTAGCCTTGACGCTGCGCCATTTGCGTCTGTCTTTTTTGTTTGGGGTCTGATCTGTTGAGCAGCTGCAGTTGCTGCCATGTGCTGCGGTGTGACGCTTGCACTCTCAGTTGAAGCATGTGGGCCCGCTGCTGCGTTGAATGAAATCAAAGGAAGAGGTCAACTTGGATACTGCAGCAATGAGCCGTTTAACGGAGGCCTCCCTCTCTCTCTCTCTCGCCGAACCACGCTAGACATCTTCAAGCATTGCGTCATGCTGCTGAACAGCAGTGCATCATAGTACCAACAACATCACGCCAGATGTTAAAATGCTGAGCGCCGGCATGGTTCTAAATAGCACTGTCATGCTAAAGCACACGGAATTTCGCAACGAATCGTGCTCGTGGCCTTTGCTTTCCCTTGTCTCCATGCTGCTGCAAATCGCTGCTGCCACGGTAAGTCTTGGAAGGGCGAATCCACAAATTAGGGGCGTTGCATCAAACACAGAAAGGGCACTTTTTTGCTAACTCCTGCAGACGAGTGCTCCTTGCAGCAGGTGGCCGTTGGGTAGGCCGCAGAATGGTTCCAGCAAGAGGCTGCTTGGCTTCAGGGGGCATTCAGACTGCAAAGGGCTTGAGACAATGAGCGAAGAAGCTGCTTGGCATTTCTGTGCCGAAGCCGCAAACATTCTGCAGCCACCTTCTCTAAGCACTTCCCGAATCGGACGCCTCCTGCAGCTATGTGTTTAAATTTGATGCCTACGTGCCATGGAAGAATTCCGCACCGGAAATCATGGCGCAAGGTCCTCTACCAGCCTTTTCTTGCACCCTTGCCAGTCCCTTTCCCTTTTCCGGAAATAGCGGGCGGTGGAGCGTTCCTTGGCCACACGGTGTACGTCAGGCCAACTGACCTGGTCTACCTCCATGTAAAGCTGCCCGTAACCAACGCATTTGCTCATCACGCCAAAGCCATACAACTCTTGAATTCATGCTAACACCTTTGCGGCCAAGGACATAAAATAATAAGACACACAACACGTGTCCTGCACCTCACGCCAACCTGGAAACCCTATCGCTCAGCAGGCTTAGGCGATGGTCACTGATGCCGCTAACTGAGATATTCCGCAAACTGTGATGAATTTGCCAAGGGTCACGTTGCTCTGCTGCATTTGTTTGACTTCTGCCATCTGCCGCTGCAACGCTTGCAACTGCTCCTCAAGCGCCTCAGACAACGTCTTTCCAGTCCTCTAATCGTTTCCGCCTAACAATAAACCCCTTCCCCTAATTCCAGAAATGTGCCCCAAGACTACTTCTAAGGCCTCATGACGGCCCAGATCCTCTGAATTAGCGGGGTCCCTAGCATGACTCCCATAGATTAGGGATCTCGTTGATTTCCTAGATTTTGAACGTCTTTCAATGTTGTTTAAAGGAATTCTTATGAAATCTGAAAGCGATCTTAAGTGTGGCAATCAGACTCTAATTAGAGTTAAATTAGATTTTAATCAGAATTTGAATACATTTAATAGATCTGATTACGATTAAATTCATTCTCATTTAGATTTTATTTATATTCACTTGGTTCAATCAGACTGAAGCGATTTTTTATCGATTTAATTGACTTCAACAAGATCCTATTATACACCCCCCCTAGAATTTGGGTCGTGCGATAAATACCCCCCTGTACGACCAAATACGGGTCGGAAAAAAACACACTATATAGGGACCTGTAGGAGGGAGAGGATTAGCTCGATGCCAGCTGATAAACATGATGTACACTTGGGACACGCGATGAATGCGAAATTACACAATAGCCTGGTAAAAATGGCCGGGTAACCCCACGTGCCTAGCGCTTGCATGCTCTCCCTTACTAGTTGCTATTTCGATGACAGACGACAGAAGAAAGATAACAAGCAGGAAGAAAAGAAGGATAAGGAAGGATAAGGAAGGACAGTAAGACGAAAAAAACGTGCAAAAAAGTACGCGACGCGTAACGACAGAGTAGTGGCAGAAGGCTTTAGGGGGGCGCGGCGTGCGGAATCGGAATCGGGTGGCGGAACATTTGCGAAATTATCAAGAAGCCGGCATTCGGTGTCATGAGACATGCGATGTTTTGGTCGCCTCAGACTTTGGACGCGATATTTGCTCTAAACGCAGCTGCGCCTGATCTCTCCTCCGCATCTACATCATGAACCTTACTTTTGATTTGCAGCAGCTGCTTCTTCTCGTTCTTTCTGTCAAGGGCCAGGTTGACAACATTCTCCCTGCGCTTGACGGCATTATCTCCAGGCTTGGCCTTTGCTTTGGCTTTCGCAGCCTTTTTGGCTTGGGCAGCAGCCTTCGCCTTTGCTCGGGCCTCCGGCAAAGCCAGAGCACACTCCTTGTCAGGCAGAGGCAGGTCCAGCAGACAGTTCCGAGGCAAGACCTGGCTGGAGAAGGGCAGATCTTCAGGGGGCGTCTGGGTGCTATCAATCAAGCTCAAAGGGCTGAGAGCGAAAGCACTTCTTTTCGTACTCCAGATTATGCTGCACTAGCTTTCGGCAAGGATAGCGTCGACATTCTCATCATCATTCCGGCATTTGGCCCAACCCTGCTCAGTCTCCAGGACCTGCGATTGCGTTTTCTAGCGGTCCAGGTTGGGTTTGGCCTTGCCCTTCGCCTTTGACCTGGCACTCTTCTTCGAGTCAGCCATCAAACGCCTCTGCTGCTCTGACTCAGATGAATTCTTTTTGCTTTCTTGTCTGCCCTTTCTGCCGGCGCAGTATCCAAGAGCTCGGTCCCTGGAGGCCCAGGCGTAGACGAATCCTTTGTTGCCTTCGCATCAAGACTTTCTTTCTTGCTAGCATCCAAAGGCCTGGCATACCCAGGTGTCATCTCCTAGGCAAACAGAATTCAAATTAGCATCGCGTCTAGACGCAAATTCTGAAGATCCTGGACAAGGAGACTCAAAAGTGAAAAAATTGGAAGCAAGATTTGCAAAACCTTGTCCATGAGGTCCAGGTTCCTCAGGAGCGGGCGCTGCAAAAGCAAACTGGGCAGCTGTGGCGGACGCCTCAACCAGACACTGCTCCGCGGAATCCATCTTCAATTTCAATTGTTCCACTCCAAGTGTTGCTGCAGCTCCGTCGCATCATCACTGTCGATCTGAACAGGTTTGCCAATCAAATCCTGGGCGAAAGCCTTTCTTGTGGCCAGCAGTCTAGCTTCCACAGATCCTTCCACAGGCGGACCTGCTTTCGGCCACGCGCTCTGCAGGTCCTCGACTTCCTTGTCAACGTCATTCTCGAAAGGCTCCAGTGGCGCAGCTAGATCAATCGCCTCTCTTGGATCTTGCGTTATTTCCACAAGCTTCAAGCAATTGAATTGCGCAATTTCTTGGCTGCTGGCCAGTCTCCAAGCAAGCTGCTTTCTTCCAATGTCTTCGCAGCCGGTGCGCTGTTTGCAGCATCCCCTTGAGGTCTGCAGCCAGGCCAGGTGAAGCTGTTCAGTGGCTTGGAGACAGCTGGGATCACGCTCTCAAGCTTGGCCTGGCCAGGTACTTTCTCGCTCAGCTATATATATATATATACATATATATATAAATAGAGATAGAGAGAGACGGAGAGAGAAGGAGAGAGAGAGAGATATACGTAGGTCGCGCAAAACCAGCATAGTTCCCAAGAACCAACAGAGGGACGAGTCTGTGGGGAGTGGCCGATCAGGAGATGCCCGCACCAAAGGCTCCAAGATCCAACCAGAACTTTCTAGCTTTCTAGGAGCGCCCGCGGCGCAAGGACTGTGGCCCTTTTCGCGCTTCACCTAGGCCGGCTTGGCAAGTTACATGATTTGCGGCTCCTGTCTAAGGGCCAAGGAAGCCTCTGCTTTCAATCTAAATTTTGTTTGGGGAGGCTAGGTTCCTACGCTCAGAAGGTCAAGTTGCATGATTCGGCTCCGCCTAAGGGGCCGATGAAGCATTTCCTTTCACGCTCTTCGGCTGCAGAGTTACAAAGGATGAAAAAACTCCAAAGAACCCACCAACCAACCAAGCAAGAACACATGTTGATGCGTGAGCGATGTTTACATGGAAGTCAAGATTGGCGCAGAAAAGAGGTACGCCAGCAGCTACAGCGGCATTAGACACATCAGGCCTGCTGCTTTCCGGACACGCTTTGCGTGTTTCCCATGACCTGGAAGTAGCCAGACAAAGCCAAACCGCACGTGCACATGCGCAGCACTACAAAGGGGAAGCGTAACGGCAGGGGTGTTTCAAGCGGTCTGGTTCTGCTCAATCCGACGTGTCCCATGACCTCCAACTAGCCAGACAAAGCCAACCAGATGCGCACACATTCCAAACTACTACACGAAGGCATCTTTCAAGTGTTTCTGGTCAATCCGAAAGTTCGACCTCCAAATAGCAACCAAGTAAAGCCAAGCTACAACTGCACGTGCACAAGACTAGAGCTAGGAAAGCAAAGTAGGGCAGCAGGCCAGCCTCTTTCAAGTGCTCGATCTGAAGCCTGCGCAGTTCAGCTTTGGGCTGATGGCTCAGAAGGCGATTCGTGGGACAAAGCCGGACAAAGCAGCAATTTCTTTTGCTTTGCTGATCTCGATCGAATCGAGCGGCACCAAAAGCACGGGCAACGTGCACAGCCTTTCATTTTGGCAGGCTACGGCCGCTCAAGTTACGCACGTCCTTGGCTACTAAAAAGCCGAAAGCAAAGTTGAGTTGCGTCGAAGAGGTGCATCGAAGACGAAGCATAGAAAGAGAGGCGGCAAAAGAGAAGGAAAGACAAGGAGCAAGGAACAAAGGAAGTTTGAAAGGAAAGAAGAGAACGTGGCTGAAGGGCCACGCAAGAGTGAAGTGCTCGAGAGTGCAGCAGCTTGACAGTCATATGTCTAATCCAGGACCAGGCCCCAAAGCTGCACGGCCGCACGCCTTGCAGCAACCCTTTAGCAAGTGTTCACCTCATTTTGATAAACCCCGGCGTAACTGCAAAATCCAAATCCCAGAACGCAATTACAAATCCCTCCGTAATTGCAAAATCCAACCTGCCAAAACGCAAAAATTCTGGACGCCCTTGAAGAGTACTGTGTTGCCCAAGATTAGGAAAACGCTTGCTCCTTGGAGGTGCGCGATACTCAGGCGAGACCCTTGGGAAACATGGAGTTCGAAGCCGCACATGCTGCAGCCCAGCGAT